TAGTTAAGAAAATTGAAATATGCAAGAACAAATGCAGAATGAGAACACTTTAATTATCTTGTCTTTCATGAGTTTTTTCTCAAATGATGAACTTAAATATTTAGTTTGCATCTAATCTTTAAAGTGCATTTATCCTTAATCTCCTCTATGATGCAAATTTAACATTCACTGTTCATTCATTTACCTAATTAACAAATTTGTGCCTATAAGTCAACTTTATACTACACTTAATGATTCAACAAAAGCTTATTAACAGCCTATTATCTGTGAGAGACTCTCATTTAGAGGCTAGTTTATGCAGATACTGCTGAATAGCTTCTAGCATAGTTCTAAGATACTTAAAAATAATTTTTCATCTTGTTCAGTAGTGAAGATCACTGGTGGATTTCATTCTGTTTGAGTAAACAAAGTAGCAGGGAAATAAAATTTCTTGACATGATTAAAGGCTAGGTTTCTTGCAACAGCTATATTCTACTGCTTTAGAAATTTTCAAGGAGTAGCTGGAGCAAGTGCTCAGTGGTTAAGGGCATGTACTGCTTTTGCAGAGGACTGGAATTCAGTTCCCAGCATCCACACTGGGCAGCTCACAACCACCTATAACTCCAGCTCCACATGATCAGAATCCTTCTTCTGGCTTCTGTTGGCACCCAGACTCATATGCAAATGCCCACATACATACACATTCATACCATTAAAAAATAAATCTTTAAAAATTTTTCCAAGGAAAAGTAAAAACTAATAAAACAAAGAAAATAATCATAGAATGTGGTTGATATATTGTGTACCCTAATAAACTTATCTGGGTGTCAGAGAACAGAATAGCCACTAGATTAGACATAGAGGCCAGAAAATGGTGGCACACACACCTTTAATCCTATCACTTGGGAGGCAGACATCCATCTGGATTTCTGTGAGTTCAAGGCCACACTAGGAAAAGAGCCAGGTGTGGTGGCACACACCTTTAATCCCAGCACTTGAGATCTCATGTCTTTGCTTGAGAAAGACACACGCCTTTAATCCCAGGAAGTGATGGCAGGAAGTAGAAAGGTATGTAAGGTGTGAGGACCAGTAACTAGAGGCTTTTAAGCTTTTAGGCTTTTTAGAAGCAGTGCAGCTGAGATCCATTTGGTGAGGACTCAGAGGCTTCCAGTCTGAGGAAACAAGATCAACTGAGGAGTTGGTGGGGTGAGGTTGGCTGTGGCTTGTTCTGTCTCTGATCTCTCAAGCTATCACCCCAATATCTGGCTCTGGGTTTTTTATTAATAAGACCATTTAGAAATTTATGATACAATAGAAACTTCATAAACCACACTAAATGCCGATTTAAATCTTAGTAACCCATCTCTATACTATAGACGTACATGGGGCAGCTGCCATTGAGGGACTGTTTTGATCTCATGTAAATGAAAGCATGTAGTTTTTTGTCTTTCAGTACCTGGTTACTTTAAATAACCTAAAGTTTTCATTTTCACCCATGTTTTTGCAAATGCAGTGTTTTCTTTTGTAAGACTAGACAATATGCCACTGTTTGGATTGCACATTTCCATCATCCAGTCCCGTTGGGCACATCTTTAGGTGTTTCCACATCTTAACTCTCAGAACACCATGAAATTAACATACCTCTTCCAGATCCCATTTTCAGTCTTTTTGGGAAGAACATCCTGCAGCAGAATTACTTGGTCATGTGTTAGTTCTAGTGTTAATTTTTTGTTTTATTGTGTTTTGTTTTGAGCTAGGTGGTATAATGAAGGTGGACTGGAGCTCACTGTGCAGCTCCAGACTGGCCTAGAAGCTGAGATACTTAACCTTTACTCCAGCCTGATTGGGATTAGAATCACACAGAAATAGATATCTGGCCAGGAAGTTTTCAGATTGGGTTAACCGAGGAGGGAAGACCAACCATGTTTGGTACCTTCCCAAAAGTGAGAGTCCTTGGCTGCAAAAAAATTTAGAAATTGAGCTAAGTTCCAGATTTCATCTCACTGCTTCCTGACTGTGGATGAAGTGTAGCGGCTGCCTCAAGCTCCTGCCACTATGACACCCTCCAACTGTGAACTAAAATCTAAACTAAATTTTCTTCCATTGCCAGGCATTCTGTCACAGCAGTGCAGACTGTAACTGTGGCTCAAGAGGGTCAGAGGACACTTTCAGTTGGTAGCAGAACTTGGCAGTACTGCCCCTGTGGTACTTGTTTGGCAGGCATAAAAGATGCAAGATTGAAGGGGACATTTCAGAGAGCCACTGGCCAGAGCATGAAGCTGTGAAGGTGGAGCCTAAATTACAATGGAGACCCGAGGTTGTATAATTGTCAGAAAGGTTGGCTTGTCCCTTGAGGAAAGCTGCCAGTAAAAAGTAGAGATGGCCCAAGAGAGAGGCCATATTGCTACAGGCAGCAGAGCTGGTTGGGATACTTAAGCTGTTTCAGATCACAGATGATTCCATCACTAGACTCAGATGTTGGGCATGGAGTTGAAGGGTTTGGTGTTTACCATGCTGGGTTTCGACCTTACTTTGGTATGACTTTTCTTTATTATACCCCTATCCCTTCCTTTTGGAATGGAACTATTTATTCTGTGTCATTATATGTTAGATATACTGTGTTTTGTTTTCTGTTTGTTTGTTTTGTTTTAATGTAAAGGGGATGGATAGATGTTATAGATAAATGATTTGGTCCCAGAAGAGACTCTGTTCTTACACTTTTGAACGATGTTGAAACTGTTAAAGACTATGAAGACTTTGGTAGGTAGAATAAGTGTATTTTTCATTATGAGATGAAAATGAAACACTAGAGGACAGGGATGGAATGCTATGATTTCAAGTGACATGTTTATCAAGTTGCCAAGGGATGTGTTGGTTAATCATTATTGTCAACTTAATGGAATTTTAAATCACCATGGAAACAATCCTCTGGACATATCTGTGAGGGGTTTCTAGATTGAGTTAAACAAGGAAGGAAGACCTATCCTAAATGTGGGTAGCACCATTCAATGTGCTAGAACACCAGACTCAATAAAAATGGTGAAGGAAGCAAACACTAGCATTCCTCCCTCTCTGCTTCCTGACTATGGCCACAATGTGATCAGCCACCTGTCTCCATGCCTTCCCTACCATGATGCACTGCACCCTTAAACTGTGAATTCAAATATCTTCCTTCCTTAAATTACTTTTGTCAAGGATTATTTGCTATAGCAATGAGAAAAGTAACTTATACATCAAGTTTTCTTATGTAACAAGTTTTCTGCTTTTGGCAGTATTTTTTAAACTGTTTTACTATTTAATATTTTTATTAAAACCATGCCCTCCCTAAAGGCCTATACATATGACATGTAGAGAGAATGCTTTTAAAACCATACTCATAGCATGACATTGAAGGTGGCATTAACATGAAGACTCAGCTATTACAACTTAGCAATTCTGACACCTTATTCTGTTCAGCTGACACTTAAGAATCACATCTAACAAAGTCTACAAAGAATACAGTATTCAGAATATAGAACAAACCACAGAAAATATGATCCAGGGAGTGGAATGGTGAAATTTCAGTATACAATTTACATCTAGAAACTCATTTAAAATTTTATTTCTCTAAAAAATATGTTGTTACTGATTCATATTAGAGTATTCTTCACAGATGCAGTACTTAAAAAAATAAAAATAAAAAAGCTGGCGCTAGAGAGAAGGCCCAGTGGTTAAGAGCACTGCCTGCTCTTCCCAAGGACCTAAGTTCAATTCTCAGCACCTACAGGGAGGCTCACAACTTCTGCGACTTCTGATGCCAGTGATACAGTACTCTCCTCTGGCTTCAATGAGCACTGCATGAACACACACACATATATACAGGTAAAGCACCATACACATTAAAAACAATAATGTTTTAAAAGTTTTTCATTGCTCAAACAAGCTAATAAATCAAAATAAGACTTGTAACAATCCTAAAAGTAAATATTTGTCCCAAAGAGAACTAAGCCACAGTCGTAAGTAACGCCAGGGTCCTTATTTTTTGTTTGTCCAAATCCAAATCTACTCCAGTTAAAAGGATACCTACCCAGAGGCAATATTATATACCAAAAGACTTTCCTACAGAACACTGACAAAATTTAAGGTTTCAGTTGACAAAATAGTATTTAAGAATGTACCAAGAAAACATAAGCATTCCTAGTTGGAAGTAAATGAACATTAACTTTCTATAACTATGACTTTCACATTTAACCAGAAATAATCTAGAGCCTGTGGGGCTTTCTTCGGTCTGTGACTCCTCTAAGATTCTAATTAATTCATCTATGACTAATCATACAATTCAATGTCTTCAAGAGAGGCAACTAGGTAATGCTTGCCCAGCACGCACAAGACCTTAGGTTCAATCTCTAGTACTGCATAGTTTGCTAATGCGTATAAACCCAGCACCTGGGGGATGGAAGCAGAAGGACAAGAAACTCAAAAGAGTTTGAGGCCAGCCTGGGCTACTTGAGACCCTGTTCCAAAAAAAAAAAAAAAGGAAAGGAAGAAAGAAAAAAGAGAAAGCAAAAAAGAGAGAGGGAGGGAGGGAGGGAGGGGGAGAGAGGGAGAGGGAGAGAGAGAGAGAGAGAGAGAGAAGGATTTAGTCAGCTGTATACAGCGAGAATTATAGATGCTCATTCTTCACAGGTGTTGGAAAGAGTGTGTTTGTAGCCATCCTGGGAGGCGTAAAATCCTGCCTGAAAAAAAGGAGGGGCTATCACCTAGAAATAACCGAGATGGGGGGACAACTCTAAGGACGCCAGAACAAGCCAAAAGTTGTCCTCTCTTCTCCTACTACACTGAAGAGTATCCCGGAACCCCAACTGAGTCAGTGAGGGGCCGTGGGAACTACACAGCGGCCTTGCTTCAAAGAATACCCAGGGAGATCACCACGTGACCCCAAACACGGGGCCTGCGTGGGTTCCAGGGACCCGTACGCACAGCAGCTCTCGGACTAGCAGCCACCAAGCCCGGCGCTGCCAAGTGGAGCCTCACCGACCCACCTTACGGAACCCGAGTGGCCGCTGAGTGGAAAGGACGCGCTAGAGGGCGCCCCGAACGCGGGCCTCAGCCCAACAGCAGCCGGTCTGCGACGCTAACTCAGCTCCACTCCGCCTCCCCGCGGCCGGCGGCGACGCCTCATCCCTCTCCTGCCGCGGAGACCACTGGGACTCGTAGTGCGCCCCGCCCACCGCAGAGACTCATGGGACATGTAGTACGCCCCGCCCTTCCCCGCCAGAGCGCCGCTTAGCGGTGCCCTCAGAGCCTTCGGGTTCCACTTCCGGTTTCGTCGCGCTGCGCTGGCACACAGCCTGTGGGCAGCGGCGGCACCTTTGTGGGCTGCGGGGCGTGCGTGGACCCTTCTACAACCCTCTCGGCCTCGCCGCCCCGAGGAGGGCAGCGGGCGCCGGCGGCCCCGGTGCTGGCGCGCGTGCTGCTGGGTAACGGGCCTGCTCGGGAGGCCCCGGGCCGCTCCTGCTCGGCTTAACTGTGACCTCCGGGGCTCCCGACTCCCGGCCCGCGGGAGCCGCGGCCGAAGACATGGGACTCCCTCGGTGCACCCGTGGCGGCCACCGTGACGGGGGAAGCGGTGGTGTCTTCGAGGAAACCGGAAGCCCGTGGTGACCCCTGGCGACCCGGTTTGTTTTCAGTCGGTTTCCAAACACTGGGGAAGCGAAACCCGGTGGCCTTGGGGGCGGCCCTTCGTAGCCAGGGTTCAGGGTGAGTGGATCGCTCGCTCGCGCTCGCCAGGAGGGTGCAGACAGCCGGGACCGGCCTAGTGGCTGTCGCCTGGCCAGACACACGTCGTCTTCCGTCCCCGGCGTCCCTCTGCGGTACGGAGCGGCCCACTGTAGCATCCCTCGCCCTTGCCATCCCCACCGCCCCGGTACCCCAGGCTCTTCCTTCGCCGTCACTGTCCGTGGATTGCTCAATTTCTGTCGGTGCTCTGACTGACTGGGAATGCTTTCAGTTTTATTTCCTGCACTGAGGTGGCATTTCTATCGGGAAGGGAAAGAGGGACGTGGGTAGTGTCGATGGCGTCTGGGCAGTGACCGTCAGTCTAACTTGTGTTTCAGTCCCGTTTTTCGGCTGTGTTGGAAGGTAGGCTAACACTCTAGTCCTCCTCACGAGGAATTCAGTACTCAAAAGTGAGATAAAATACTCATGGAAGCTACTAGAAATCAGAGCATAAAATTGCTCAGAACAAAATAATGTAATGATCAAAAACATTGACGTATTGGGGTTGAACTTGACCTCTACTCTTTAAATGCAGAAGACAACCCCCCCCCCGTTTGAATTTTAAATTGGATTGAACAAAATCTTAAAACAGTTTAATTTCTAGTTCTTCAAAAACGTTCTTGTTACCCAGTCCGCGGTGATCACTCCATCTTCTCAAGTTGGGAATAGTTGGGATTATTCGCTGGATGGCTACAAAATACTGAATGCCCTAAGGTTTGTAAATAGTCGTCCTCATGCAAATGCAGGAGTTTAATATCTAAGATCCATCATGCTGTCATGGGAAACGGCAGTGGATTAGATCAAAAGCCTTGGGATGTAGGCATTGAATTTTCCATCTGTTCACTTAACACGAGTTAAAGGTTAAGCCTCTTACTCTTGGCTTCCCCCTTTTTTCTTTTGCTGAAGTACAGTGCTCACTTTCCAGATACAGTTTCCAAGAGCTCTGCTGGCTCTGAAGTTGGCAACCCGTTTGCATGTTTAATTACTTCACCTGTAAATTGAGACATGCTTACCCATCTGAGTGTTTTTACACTGATTTAAAGAATTCTTAAGAACTACCTCGTTCATTAAAAGATGAAGCACACATTGGGCATGGTGGTACATGCCTTAAACAATACCAGCACTAGGGAAACGGGCAGGCTGATTTCTGAGTTCCACATCAGCCACTGCTCCACAGTGAGAGCTCTTCAGGAAAAGATTAGCTGAAGCCCAGTGTCTAGAATATAACTACCTCTACCAGAAGTGCTTCATCAATGCTAACACAGACCATTGTTGTGCTTACTGAGTGAAATAATGCAATTAAAAAAAAAATCTCTGAATGGGACCAACATAACTTTAATGTCACTTACCTGAATTGAAGTTATGTTTCACTGTTAGAAAATAATTATTAATAATATTTAATGTAGGTGCTTGGTTGCATGAGATACATTATTTTAGAGAGTGAAAAGAAGGCTGTTCTTCATACTATGCTATACTTGAATCTTCAGATTCCTCAGCCATAGCCGGGCAGTGGTGGCACACACCTTTAATCCCAGCACGCAGGAGGCAGAGGTGGGCGGATCTCTGTGAGTTCAAGGCCAGCCTGGGCTACAGAGTGAGTTCCAGGAAAGGAGCAAAGCTACACAGAGAAACCCTGTCTCAAAAAAAAAAAAAAAAAAGGTTCCTCAGCCATAAAAACTGATCTCTGGACTAAGATTCCTTAGCCATAAAAACTGATCTCAGTGAGTCAGGATCATAAAAATGAAAATGACATTTTTCATATTACATATCTGATATTGCTTAAGCTTTTGGACACTTAATGAGTTACAAAGCATATGATTGATGAGGTACGTAGATTAAGTGTTGGCATCTTTTTAAAAGGGCACTTGAAAATCCCTTTTAAAGAAGCAGAAGCCATTCCTGCCCGTAATTATTTAAAGTGAGAAAAGGAGTATTATGTTATTTCTTGGTTCTTTGCCCACTGTCTAATTGACCTATATGAAGTGGGTTCTCAAATATCCTAACTTTTCAGAGATAGAAAGCCACTGGAAATTCTAAACGGTATTCACTTCAGAAGGTAATGCACAATAGGCCTTAATTCAAATCCCAGTTCGGTCACATGCCGCAGGTATGATTATAAACAAGTTTACTCACCTCTTTAAGGCTCGGTCTCCTTGACTGTGGTGTTGGCAGCTCTTTTCTTGCCAAGTTTAGTGTAGCTATATTTAACTTATCAGCCAGTTTCTGGCACAACTGTGAGTTTCTTTTTATCTGTTCAGGTTCCCGTTCTGTAGCTGGATTAAAAAGTTGCCTTCACAATATAATGAGGTGGTCTCTTCATGATATATCCAACTCTGCCATGTATAGGTATGAAAATTGAGGTCCCGAAAGCTGAAGTGACTAGTGATAGATGATAGACTAGAATTTGAGTTTCTGAATCTTATAGGCCATTGTCCATAGCGTTCGACCTTGGCCAGATTCTTACTGGGAAAAATTACAATCACAACATTCAGACTGTTTATAAAGAACCTAGATTTGGCCTGACCACTAGGTCCATCTCCCACCATCTGCCCAGCTCCCAGTGCAGGCAGGTAAGAGCTTCCCAATCCTCCCCAGGCCCAGACCACTCAACCCAAACTCCCCCATTCAACCTTCTTGAGGGCATGGGCAGATCTGAGCTTGTCTCAACCTTGGTCAGAGAAGTTTCCTTTTGCAGTGGCCAGCAGTCACTGGAGAGATGCACACTGGGTCAAAGTGATGAGAATAAGAGACTGAGTGCTCAGCCCTGCGTGGGACATCTATATTAATCTCAGCACCAACAAGGTGCAGAGAACAACATGGTAGAGAGGAGGAAAGAATGGAAGAACCGAAGAAAGGAGAGGAGGGCTGTGAAATGCTGCCTTTTAGATGCAATCATGATCTCCTAGCAACTGTTATCACCTTACAAGACATAATCCCAGTGTGGATGGGGGGACATAATCTTTAGGCTTTACCCCACACTCAGGTGGAGAGTGACAGGGAGAGACAGAATCCATTCTTACTAAGGATATGGCCAATGTTCCAGTGGATGGCCCACATGTATGCACATATGGACAACACAATTGCACTTGATGGGTTATCAAACAAAAAAAGGACATGAAGTGTGAGCATGTTGAGGGATATGGAGAGAATTAGAAGGGAAAATATGGGTAGATAGTATTTCATTGTATATGTGCATACGTGTGGGCCATCCACTGGAATGAAAGTGCAAAAAGCTCAGGTCTTTAAAAGTATTTCTTGCCTTTGTGAAGCAGTTTAGAGTATTTGGTTTTAGCTGATTTTTGAAGATACTCAAATTCAATAAATTCTATCCATTTAGGGTAAGATTGTTATTTAAATAAGATGAATAGTGTGGATACTGTTTTTACCTCCCCTAAAATTAGACTGCATTGCAGCATTTATATATATATAACTATATATGTAACATAATGTCATATATATTATATACATATATATAAAAGGTTCTTTTAGGTAAAATAGTAGTTTACAGTTTTTTTATTTAGCTAGGGATCCAGCTCAGGTCTTGATACATGCTTGGCAAATGTTCTACTGCTATACCATACTCCCAGTCTAATTTCACACCTTCATAGAACTTTATAGTAATGGATCTAAGTGCTTGATCTAGAATTATTTTTCATCCTTTACACTATAAAAGTGGTTATTAATATTTTCTGGGCCTTAACAACTTACCCACTAAGTCACACTGCCCCTGAACCTTGGATTAGAACCTAGGTAGCTGTGCTTATAGCAATTGCCCTATGTTGCCTTTAAGATTTTTCCAGTATTCACATTGCAAATAGACCTTTTCTTCCTGCTCATCGACCAAGTGACCTTACCCCTCTCTCATCTCCATAGCTGCCATGGACACACTAGTAGAAGATGACATCTGCATTCTGAATCATGAAAAAGCCCACAGAAGAGAGACAGCGACTCCACTCTCGGTGTACTCAGGAGAGGAATCTGTTGCTTCACATTTTGCTCTTGTCACCGCGTATGAAGACATCAAGAAGAGACTTAAAGATTCAGAGAAAGAAAACTCTCTCTTAAAGAAAAGAATAAGAGCTTTGGAAGAAAAGGTAGTTTTTGGTTTTGTTTTCGTTTTTGTTTTCCCTCGTTTGATTATGTTTGACATAAAAAAAATCCAAATATTTGATAATTTAACTATTTTCTAATCTGTCTTCCAAGACTAAGTAAGAGTTCCTAAATTCTTTACCATTAAACTATGTTGCATCAGCTATACCCTGTGCTCAGTGATATTGTAGAATAGGATTTAACAACTTGAAGGTTTTCTGGTCCAACATTTTTTTCTTTTTTTTTCAGATTGACTACTGTCATTGCTATGTATCGAGGCCAGTTTTTTCCCTTGTTTCCTTGTTTTTGTTTTGTTTTGGTGTGTGTGTGTGTTGCACATGCATGTGCACCTGTGTGTATTTGAAGGTTAGACGTCAACCTCAGGTGGTGGTCCTCAGGAACTGTTCACTTTCTGTTGGAGACAGGCTAGGTCTCCAACACTAGGTCACAGGGGTTACTAATTAGACTAGGCTGCCCGGCTAAGAAGCCTCGGGATCTCCTGGTCCCTGTCTCCCTATTACTGGGGTATAAGTACACATCACCACATCCGGGTTTGAACGTGAGGACTGAACTCAGGTCCTCATGCTTATGCAACAAGCAGTTTACCAAAAGAGCAGTTCGCCCAGCCCTGGTATATGTGTGTAATTAGAATTTCAAGTCTGTACAGGAGAATAACATACTAGTGATGAAACTGTCAAACCAGAACCTTCTTTGACAATGCTTCACTGTGTTTAGCAAGCTCTTTACCAGGACCGGACCCTTTACTTCTGCATTCTCTTGGATTTCCTCAGAAAGGAGGAATAACGCTTTAAGCTGACAATGACATGTGCTTTTCCATGCTGAATGTTACATTTCTGAATATTATATGAGATAGCTAAAATGCAATCTAAATCATCAGACTTAACTTGATTTTATATGTTGGAATTTTTCTTGGTTGCCCATTTATTTATGGCATTTTAAGGTTTTCATTAGTTTATATTTCATATTTCTTCAAATCAGATTTGTATTTGTATCTTACAAAAATGAGAGTTTCTACAAATGGTAAAAGAAATGAGTTAAGAAATTTCTCGATTTAAAAACTTGAGGATGGGTTTTGCTAGAATTTTTTTTTTTTAGGAATTTTTTTATTCATTTTACATACCAATCACAGATTCCCCCTCCTTTCCCTCCTCCCGCCCCTCCGCCCTTTCTCCCCCAACCCACCCCCCATTCCCATTCAATAGAGGCAGGTCCAGGTCACTCCCCCTGCATCAAGGCTGTGCAAGGTAGAATTTAATTTGTTGGGATGGTAAAACTAAGAGGTCATTCATTAGTATTATAATAATTTCTTCTCATTAATTTTAACTTAGTAATTAAGTATATTTGTCATATATTGAGAAATTACTGAAGGTAACTTTACAACTCATAGTTAAGCTTTTAAAATTCAATAGAATCATGGAATTTAGTACGTAATTAACATACAAAATCTGTACATTGTGATCATCAATCCTATTAATTTCATTTGCTGGAATAATGCAGGGTTTAATGAAGTGGTATGTCTAGTCCTTAAGAAGCTGACTGATTTGATCCTTTTCTGATGATAGAAATTAGATACTGTAGACTTGGAAAATACCCAGACACTTCCAAGACAATGTACTGTATTATAGTATGATGATTAAGTTTATTATAAAGCAAATAGTACAAAGCACAGATTACTGATAAGCAAAAAACATGTGTTGGTTTTTTGTTTGTTTCTTTTCTGTACTATTTGTCTTGTTGATGAAGATTGTGTGGGAGTGAAATATTCATGTAATTATAGGTAAAGGTAGGCTTTCTCCTTACATTGCAGTAATTAGAGTAGAAGAAGGTAGAGCCACCAGAAGATGGTCTTAGTTGGTTCTGCAGAATACCCACTGAAGATTTCTCCCCCTAATTTCATACTATTAGCTTGTTGGAGCTCGAGTAGATGAAGAAACAAGTTCTGTGGGACGAGAACAAGTGAATAAGGCCTATCATGCATATCGAGAGGTTTGCATTGATAGAGACAATTTGAAGAACAAATTGGAGAAAATAGTAAGTTAATTTGAAAATAATACTTTATATTTTAATTATTTTGTCTTGCAAGAAGTTTAGAATTAAAGGGTTAAACATTTACATTTATTAATTAGACAAAATATACATGTTCGTGGCATATAGAAAATTTTAATAATTATATTTTCCAGTAATATCCAAAAATAAATACTTAGTATTTAATAATGTTAAGGACTTAAAGCCTTCTGAGAACCACTAACTTACTTGGAAAAAAGTCATGGCAAGGCTGATTTACTCCTTGTGGGTGTTCGGTTTGGTTTGGTTTCTATCCAGTGGGCAATGATGTCCCAAGAGAGAAACAAAAGGTTAGTGAGAATCAGGGTTTATCTTCCCATCTTGCTTTTAAAGTTAGAGTGAGGTTTATTCACCATTGACCTAAAAAGTAAGCTATGAGACAAAGCTAGAGAGTTTATTGACTGTAATTTGGATTTTCCCTACTTAACCAGAACAAAGACAACACTGAATCTTTGAAAGTATTGAATGAACAGCTACAGTCTAAAGAAGTAGAGCTTCTGCAGCTAAGAACAGAGGTGGAAACGCAGCAGGGTATGCCACTTACTTGTTATGAATGTTCTCATAGAATTCATCCATCTGTGCATTTGTGTGCTGTACTCATAATCAGTTTCCTATGTCTGTAGGATAAAGGCTTAATTTTTTCTGTTCTTTTTTCACACAATATCTTATTAACTTTTCTTTAGCTGAAAATTGTACTTTTCCCACAGAAGATGTGATGTTTTTATTCAAGGGTAGTATGTGATGGATAAAGTAGAAGAGGAAAGAGAGAAACCCCATCTTCCCCAAAGCTCTCACCCACTGCTATCTCCTGACTTGGCCTTCATACTGAACCTATTGCCCACAGTTAAACACATTGTCATGGAGTAGCTTCATTGTTTCTTAAATTTTTTTCTCCCTGAAAGTTGATGAAATGTATAGATGAGATACTGAAATGGAAATTTTGTCTGGGAGTTAGAGGTAATAGTCTTGTTCCCATCAACAGTCTCATGAGGCAACCAAAAGAACTGCCTGTTGAGAGGAGACTGTTTAGTAGAGAATTAATGTGCGATCTTTCCAGGTAAATGGTTGGGGCTTTTTGGAGATGGAGAAATAACAGACTAAGTCGAAAATAATGTAGGATCCAGCTGTATTAAGTTTCCATAGTCAGGTGTTTATGAGTAAAATTGTTTCGACATGCATTCTAGACCTGTCCATCAAATTGCAAACTTTGATGGAGTGCATGATGCTGAGCCTTAGTAGCCTTACATGTTTTGTACTGGTTATTTATTGACATTTTACCAGTGTCACCTAGGAACTGTAGTTGGTATAAAAAGCAAAGATAACTATTTTGTTGTCTATCCTTTTTCTAGTAATGAGGAATTTAAATCCACCTTCATCAAACTGGGAAGTGGAAAAGTTAAGCTATGACTTGAAGATCCATGGTTTGGAACAAGAGCTGGAACTAATGAGGAAAGAATGCAACGATCTCAAAATAGAGCTACAGAAAGCCAAACAGACGGTACTTCAAAGTCATTCAACTGAGAACTTCCTGTACTTTGGGCATCATATATATGTTTTGTCACTAAGTACTAAATCATAGGTCTATAATTATAACCATAGAATGTTCATTGCAACTAATATTTCATATACTCTATACATTCATTCTTACCCCAGAATATAGTTTTAAGACTTGATTTAAAATATATGTTGGATTATATATTAGTTACTTTTCTATTGTTGTGACAAGGCACCATTACCAAGGCAATTTATAAAAGAAAGCATTTAATTTGGGGGCTCAAGGTTCCAGAAGGTTCAAATCCATGATCATCATGTCCAGAAATATAGCAGTAGGCAGCAGGCAGGCAGGCAGGCAGGCAGGCAGCAGGCAGGCAGTAAGCAGGCAGTAGGCAGGCAGTAGGCAGCAGGCAGTAGGCAGGCAGGCAGGCAGACAGGCAGGCAGGCTGGTGCTGGAGCAATAGCTGAGGGTTTCCATTTGATTCACAAGCACAAGGCAGAGAGCCATCTGGGAATCCCATGGGCTTTTCAACCTCAAATGCCACCCCCACCTCACCCCCAGGAGCACACCTCCAACAAGGCCACATTTCCCATTCCTTCCCAAACAGTAATAACAGCCGACTTAGCATTGAAATATAAGAGACCCTGAGGGCCATTCTCATTCAAGCCACCACAGGTTATTTTAATTTTTTAAAAACTTCCTTTCCTTAGGGTTTCTCTCATTTTGAATGTGTCTGAAAATTTTAAAGAGAACTTAGTTTTAACTTTTCCATTTTATGGAAACTAACAATTTGGTTAGTTTAGACATAAGAGACAACATTATAGAATTCTTGGGTTGGTGGGGACCCAAACTTCCACTAACAAAGGAAGCCTTACATAGCCTGTTTATTGTCAGAAGACTCAGAAAACATTTGAGAATTCAAGAACATCAAACTGGGAAGTGGAAAAAAATGAATGTTTACATTTTATACATGAGAGTTTTTCACTGTAGAGTGAGAAACAGTGCCATGTGATCATGGAAATTTGGCTTATCATTGTGTTTTTATTAAATATGGAAATTAGGAATGTCTTTTAACTTTCAGGAAATTTATTTTCTGTGGGTATTAAATATCTCTGTTTTCCTAAATGTTAAGTTAGGGGTTGTATAAAGAGGTTAGCATAGCACCTGGACAGAGTATATTCAGTACATACATTAAAACAAACAGAAAAGTATTTAGAGTAATTCAGGAAGGCAGTGTCTGTGTGTGGGGGGGGGGGGGGGCGTCAAGTTGTGGTTCTTATTACTTATTCTGTTCCACTAGGTGGTGCTAGGGAATAAATATGCTTTTAGTTTATATCTATCATGCTAGCAGTTCATAGAAACAGTTTATTAGAAGTACAAGAAACTTTTAAAACCATGATGTTTTATGTACTTTTAAATCTGATTAGAATCTTCTTGGATATAGAAATCTAAGAATGATCTGAAGAAAGAAGTTTCTGTTCACACGAATAACTTGTATCTACTTGGCTGTGGTTTTTAAATGCTAACACATTATTTCATGTGACACATACTTTAGGGACCTTCTGGGGTGTGGTCATACTAGTAGCGCTCTGCTTTTGACTGTTAGCAGCAGACTTGGCTACTCGTGTTTGTTGTTAGGAAGATCAGCAGCATTTCAGAAGCAGCTCTGCTGGGGCTTTTCCAACCCCTTATCCTAGCCATCTACATTCACAACAGTTGATTCTGAGAATTCAGACAGCCAAAGTGGTACAAAAAGCAGTAGATCAAAATAAATACTAGTGTGGAGTCCTAGTGTTGGGCAATATATTAAAGGTTCCAGGAAGGCTATATTGCTGGGATATGGGGAACCTGAAGTGAATTCCCAGAGTGTGGTCTTCAGAACAGTGCAGCCTGCTTACTTGCTATGAGGAGTTTTTGCATGTTAGGGACAATCCTTTTGAGGATTTTAATTTTTGCTGGTTTGGATTCAACTTTTCTGCCATGTCAGTAAATGTAAAACTACTTTCTTATCCTAACCAGATTTATTTTGTATTGTCAGCTCTAAAGAGAAGGTTTCCAGTAACATATGTGTTTTAAGTATACACTGAGGAGCCTATTTTTTTAATTAATGATACAAACTAAAGGAGTTCTGAGGATAGTTTTACTTCCTCTGGATACCAGTAAAGAACAACCCCAAGCATGCCTCCAATGCAGGTAGTCAGACCTCCCTTATTAATTGCTCATTCTGTCTCTCCTCCATAGGCTGTCCACACTGCAGTTTGTCACAGGAAATTCAAGGGACCCAACTATTTTCAATCCTAGACTGTGATGCATCAAATGTGGGATGTGTGGAAAGTCCTAACAGATTTTCATTGTTACACTAAAACATAGCATTTAGGTGGTAGTTTTTGAGACAGAGCCTTACTCTGTATCCCAAGTTGGCCCAGAACTCACTCTGTGGCCCAGGCTGTCCACAAACTTATGGTACTCCTCCTCAGTCTCCCAAGTATTGAGATTATGAGAGTGAGCTACATGCCTGGTTTATAATTTATGTTATGTAAGTAATACTGAATAGTAAATTTTTTTATTTTTCAGCTTATACCAGCAGTTCCTGCTGATAAATTAATACCCGTGAGATTAATGCTTGTTATAGGCTCTTGATTGAAAATGCATTGTGAACAAGTATGACACAGAAGATCCTGAATATATTAGATTTATTTAAAAGAATCTTATATAGGTGTGGGGTTTTTTTTTTTTTTTTTTTTTTTTTTTGGTTGGTTGGTTGTTTCGTTTAGTTTTGTCATACCTACAATATAAATAATTAAAACTGTAAAGGGTGTGGGGACTTTCAGAAGCTCTTGCTAAGGCCAGACCTTGAAAGGGAGTGTGGGAAACATAATCCTGAGCTGATGACACAGTGCCAAACCCCAAATCAAACTCTCTGTTGTCAGTGAAGAAACAGATGAGAACAGGCCCAGTGGAGACAACTAGAAACCTCTACTCCATTTACTGAAAATGATGCTTTCTAATGTAACACAGTGTTTGTTAAAATAATACAGTGTATGTAACCAGTCAGTCGCTCCTCTTTGCCCACAGCAAGAAAAAGTAAAACCAGTGGGTCCATATGCATTTCATGAAAAATAAAACTCAATAGCATTTATCAAGTGAGAACACTATTCAAGCATAGTTCATGGTTTTGTTTTGCTTTTTTAAGATATAAATACATTTCCTGAAATTGGAATCAATTGCTTTTACAGTTTTTGAAAATAGACTAGAATATTTGGACACACAGGAAAGTTCTTGCCAGGTCAGTCATTTTATGAGGAATATATGCTGTCTTAAAATAGTAACTGGTTAAGAGCACTGACTGCTCTTCCAAAGGCCCTGGGTTCAATTCCCAGCACTACATGGTGGGTCACAACTGTCTGTAACTCCAGTTCCAGTGGACCCAACACCTTCACACAGGCATACATGCAGGCAAAACACCCAAGCACATAAGATAAAAGTAAATAAATTTGGAGCAGGAGAGATGGTTCGATGGTTAAAACAGTAACTTGTCTCAATTTTTTGCTGTTTTATTTGTACAGAAATAAGAAATACCAAAGAAACTCCCATTTTCCATAGAATTCATGCAGATATACCTTAAACAGTAATGTGATGGCTATGTTACACTTCTGATATGTTCAAAAGTTATGTTTATAGGATTCCAAACTCACGAAAACATGTTTTAAAGAAAATGAAAGCATGAACACTCCAATAACTGAAAGTGATTTAGCCATTTTGGAGATAGGTGGCAGTATTTCATTAAAATTGAGTCTGAAATCTAGTCTTACACTTTATACAATTATATTCTGTGTATGTTAAAACATCTGTGATGATGAAAAAACTGAGAAAATGGAACTAATTCCTTTGTTTTCTTTGTTAAACACATGACAGGGGCCATCTCAGGAAGACATTCTGCAGGACAGAGATCTCACCAGACCAAGCTTGCCGAGAGAGGAGCATGTCCCACACCAGGGCCTTCTCCACAGGTCTCCCGTGTGCTTTCTACCTTTAAGATGTGGTTTAACTTGAAGAGCAGCAAATACTCTGGTGCTGGCTCTAATCTCTGGTCATAATATGTTCATAAAAATGATTTCATAGTTACTTACCAGTATGCTTGACCTGATCTGCTGTGCTATACCTATCAAAAATATTTGAAAGACATTTGTTTTAGAGAAATTACAGTTGTCAAAGTACACATCTTTTAATTCTGTAACAAATACCATACTTTAATTCCCTTTAAGGCAGTGGTTCTGAACTTTCCTAAGGCTGCGACCCTTTAATACAGTTCCTTGATTGTAGTGACCCCCCAACCATGAAATTATTTTGCTGCTACTTCATAACTGATTTTGCTACTGTTATGAATCGTAATGTAAATAGCTGATATGTCAGGACTCCAAGGTTGAAAACCGCTGCTTTAAGGGAATGTAGTAAATTTTCAAAGGCTAAAGAAAATTATATATATATATAATATATATTACATATGTATGTCTGAAGTAGAATCAAAGATGAGTAGTTTTTGGTTGTTTTTTGTTTTTGTTTTTTTGTTTTTGGTTTTGTTTTTTTTCCATGAGCAGTGTTCATTTCATTTACAAAAAGGTTGAGAAATAGTGTTGGTCAAGAGAACAGGACTTCACAGTATTCTCTAAACAGGACATATAATGCTTTCTTAGGATGCAGACAAATGAGTTCCAGAATGCCAAAGATAAAGGGGTGAAAGTTTGTACTCAGACTAAGCATATTTGTGTGGGTCATCAACCATTTTATAGTACTTTGTGTGGATATACTAACAATGCCTGTAAGAAAAACTAAAAGGGCAGTGTGGTAGAGTAGACAAGTAAGACAGCTTTGAAAAAGCAACCTTGTGGAGTAGAGTTGACTCCTGAACCTGCCTCTTCATGTGTAATTTCCCATCGTCCTGGGTTACTGTTGCTGTGATGAAACACCATGACCAAAGGAACTTGGGGAGGAGAGGGCTTATTTGGCTTATACTTCCACATCACTGTTCATCATCAAAGAAGTCAGGACAGTACTTCAAACAGGGCAGAATCCTGGAGGCAGGAGCTGATGCAGAGACCATAAAAGAGGCTGCTTACTGGCTTGCCCCATGGCTTGCCTAGCCTACTTTCTTACAGAACCCAGGACTACCTGCCCAGAGGTAGCCACAACCCACAATGGATTGGACCCTCTCACACCAATCACTAATTAAGAAAATGCCTTTCAACCCGACCCTATGGAGGCATTGTTTTCAGCTGAGGCTCCCTCCTCTCCAATGACTCTAACTTGTTGTCAAGTTAACATAAAACTAGCCCCATACAGCCATTTTGCCAGGATGGTATGAGAATATGGCTAAGTGCCTAGCACATAATGAATGCTTAGCCATCATTATTCTGTGTTGTTTTTCAGGGCTCTCAAGTAGAGTGATTATCATTTTAGTACTCAAACTGCTATATAAGTTCTTTAAAGACAACCATATACATGAAAATTTTTTTTATGTCATTTAAAGCAAGTTAGCTTTACACCCCCATTTAAGAAAGTAGGGCAAAATGGTAGGCAATCCATGCGTAGCCTCAAAAACACTTAAATAAAACACCCAGTACTGCCTGGACTGCCTGGAACCCTATTAAGAACTTGAGAGATAACTTGCTTTTCTTATTTAATGGCTTCAACATTTATTCACACACATAATTACCAATCATTTTCACATACTTTAAAGACTCTTAAGACTGAGTTGTTATCCACAAGAGGAAGAGTTGTAAATAGTAATAACCTTCAATATTGGGGTGGTGGTATGGACATGTGCTACAGAGCCTGTGTGGGGTCAGAGATAACAGTACAGTTCTCAGCTTCACTCTCACCTTGGTTCCAGGAGGTAAACTCAGGTCACTTGCCAACCCATAGTCTTAGGGTTTTAAAATGTATCTTTTTATATGTGCAAGTGTGTTGTGTGAGCCTGTATAAATTTATGGCGATTATGGGTGTGCAGGAGCCAGAGGGAAGGCATTGGGTCCCTGGAACTGGAGTTACAGGTAGTTGGATGCTAGGAACTGAATCCTGGTCCTCTGCAAGAACAGTAAGCACTCTTGAACTACTGAGCCATTTCTTAGGTATTTCTCGTGCACAATCTTATGCATCTTTTTAATCTGTAATTTTAGTGTAGGTGACACTAAAAGCAGAGGACACAAAGGTAATTTTGGTGCTCTAGTTTCACCTTGTCCAAATTTTTAAATAATCTTCATTAAATTGAATTTTTAAAATGTTCTTTAGCTATTGATACTAATACCTTTATAATCTTTTACTTGACATGTATTTGGTGTTTGAGTACCCAAGTGTCATCATGAATATTTCTTTTTTTAAGTCAGGTACAGATTCACCGTATTATAACAATAATAAATTATTTCCAAACTGTATTATTCATGATTGTGTGCCTGAATTAGCACATGTACAGTACTTAACCTGCTGCTTTATGATGAGTGACTCTTTGAGAAACATCCAATGCCCAGAATTGGACATGGAACCAGCAATTTTCTTCACATTGTAGAGACTTCATTATGAAACAGTCATTGTAAAAGGCATCTCCAGTGGTTACTGTTTCTGAAGTAGAGCTGGTTAAATACACCAGAGGTTAACCAAAGATACTTAAAATACTAGATTTTTCAAAGCAGTATAGTTTGTTGTACTGTTTATAATACAAGAATAGCAGTCCAAGTAGGATAGAAATACTCCATCAAAGAGGTAAAAATTTACCTCACATAATTTAACCTAATTGTTTTTAAATATCTATTGCTTCTGTAATTAGATACTAGATTCAGATTTCAAGGTTATTCCTCTTAAGTTTAAGTTGTGTATTAGATAGAAAAAAATTGAAGCATGTTTGTTGAGTTTTATTTCCATACCATTTACATTCTTGAACCTGTAATAGTGGTGGTTCTAATATTAAGAAGTCAGTTCTTATATTGACTAATTCATGATTACTGTGCAGTAAAGCAAGAGTATGTGCTGAAGATTTCAGTTCATTTAGTTGGCAATTAAGAACCTAAAGAAAATCATGAGCCTAAGAGGATTTAATGGAAAATAAAAGCTTTTAAAATTAGATCTAAAACAGTTTCAGATTCGGAGGTAAAATCCTTTTAATTATAAAACTATGGAAAGGCATTTTGAAGTTTTGTTTCCTATAATCTGCTTCTCTAGCTGCTGCTTAGTTATGAGGAAATCATGTGACTCCTCATGTCTTGTGCTGTCATGTCACATTGGTTTAGAACCAACAGTATGAGACAGCCCAGTCAGACATAAAGAATGTAATACATGAAACCTCAATTTTGTCTTAATGTGGTCTTGGGTATCTACTCATCACTTCATTTCACAGTGTCAAAACAATCCAAAGATAAAGACGAATTCAAAGACCATACATGAATGAATGCAATTTTATTCTTGATCAGATTGACAAAGGAAGAACATAGTCCTTACTAGTTACTAATTATATTAACAGTACTGCACATTATTGGCTAAAATAAATCCTTGGTTCTAAGAGACAGTAAGAAACTCACTGGTTAGAGTGTTTATTATAATCTGTTTGTTATAGTAGTTATTGCTTGAAATTGAGGCAGTGTTATTTCTAGGTGTTTTTCACTTACATTCCAATTAATTATTTTTTAGTTTCATTTATATTCTCATAAAACAATATAAATATAAGCCTGCTTATTTGTATTGTTATTCCCCTTTAGGCATAAAAAGGACCAGTGCAGTATAACTTGTTTTTAAAATTCCATTGCAGTGATAATATGCAGCATGCATACTGGGAACTGAAGAGGGAGATGTCTAACTTGCATCTGGTGACGCAAGTGCAAGCAGAACTACTAAGAAAACTGAAAACCTCAGCTGCCATCAAGAAAGGCAAGTCACTGCTGGCTGGAAGTGCTGAGTCCAGCCAGACTGCCTGAAGAGCAGCTAGCTACTTTATCTTATCAAAACCTCATCCTGTGACTTCGATACGCAGTCTCTACTGCACACCCATTCCCTGCTTTGGCCTCAGCCTCTAGCTGGTCAGCTTCACACATAAAAGTGTTGCTGGTATTTTTTCTTCAGTACTATATTCTTTTCCCCTTGTGGCTTTTCTCAGCCAAGTGTTGCTTATATGTGTAAGGCCAAGGTGTTAGGTTTGCTCTAGTTGGCTTTTTACCACAACTATCTATATTTAAAAAGAACTCCAGACCCAAGTTTCATTTCAGTACTATCAAGTATACCAGAGACCTAGCTTTTTATTTTCAAAACAACTCCGATTCATTTAGTTCTTGACATCTTTTTATAGGCTTTCCTTTCCATACAAGATGTCTGATTTGAAGGCAGACTCAACCAAAATTTTTCATTGCTTTCTTTTTATATCCAGTATTTGACTAAAGCTTTTGGGTATTATGTTAGCTAGTAGCGTGTCCTTTTGCCAGCGCTGTTTTTGTATCTTAGAAAACAATGAGTGTGTTTGCACCTCACATTGCGTAATAGGTTTACATCTGAAACGTACAGTATGCATTTAATCTTAAATTTGACTTTCCAAAGGAATGTGATGTCACTTTGAAAAGTGACCAGCTTTTAAAATTGTTATTTGCACCTCTGATTGTCCTAAAGAAGAACAAGAAAATTGTTTTATAAATATTCTCAAGAGTATTTGTAAGGGAAAATATTTCACACTAGGGAAAAAAAATGCACACACAATTTAAAGTTTCTTTTGCTTTCTACAGTGTTGGGTACTTAAGAATCAGGCAAATTAATGTGGTGTTAAGCAAACACAGCTCAATTTATGGTTCACCTTGCCCTTGTTTTTCAGTAGTTAAGATTACTTATGAAGATCCATAGGTGGATGGCAGAAATAAGACTTCTCCTTAAACTGACTCAGCTATTGTGGAGCAAGCTGTTAGTACAACTGCTCACACAAATAGTGCGTTCCAAAGCATAGTAAAGAAGAGCTCTTTCCATCCTGTCTTCTATTGTTGGGGATACAGAGTTGTATTATTACTTATGAATGTCTGGCCTTAGCTTGGCTTAGTTTCTTGCCAGATTTCCTTAACTTATTCCAACTACCTTTTACCTCAGGGCTTTTCCTTTTCTCTAACTTCTGTAAATCTTACCCTTATTCCATGGCTTGCTGTATACCTGGGTGGGTTGCCCCTGGAGTCATCATCCTCCTCTGGCTGCTAGATCTTCGATCCCTCCAGAAGTTTTCTCTCTCTATATTGTCTGCCTGCCAGTCCCTTCTATCCTTTCTCCTGCCTTGCTATTCTTTATTAGAAAAGAACTTTATTAGTTTTTTTTTTTTTTGGTTTTTCAAGACAGGGTTTCTCTGTGTAGCTTTGCGCCGTTCCTGGAACTCACTTGGTAGTCCAGGCTGGCCTCGAACTCACAGAGATCCGCCTGGCTCTGCCTCCCGAGTGCTGGGATTAAAGGCGTGCGCCACCACCGCCCGGCGAACTTTATTAGTTTTTTATTCTTTATACAGGCACAGTAACACAGCTTCACAGAGTTAAACAAATGCAACATGAACAAAAGTAACACACTTTAAAATAGTCTACTACAGTCTTCCTTAATTGGCTGAGAACACATACTTTTGATGCCTTTACACTATCAGTTTCTAGAACATTTCCTTGGACAAAGTTAAGTCTAAGGGACCAGTAGTCACTTGGCTGAGAACACATACTTTTGATGCCTTTGCACGATCAGTTTCTAGAACATTTCCTTGGACAAAGTTAAGTCTAAGGGACCAGTAGTCACCAGTCCCTACAGCTGTTTTCAGTAGAAGGGGTTATGGCTCACTTACTCTTGACCTGCCCATCACTGTTGTCCAGAAGAATTAATTACTTTCAGTTTTTTCACTCTATTTACCCTTCCTACCCAAATGTTTCAATTTGTTTCTTCTACAATTACATGAGTGGGCTCAGCAAGTGGAAGGGCTCACCTACAAGCTTGAGGACCTGTGTTCATCTGGAACTCATAGTGGAAGCAAAGAACCAACTCCGGAAAGTTGTCCTCTGACCTTTATGCTCATGTGCATTCTCATGCTCACAAACATACACACGTAAAAATAAAATATTAGGTTGCATAGAACCAAGCCTTCAATACACATGGTCATCCTTAGGTTGAGAAAAAAATGTAGCTTTCACCTGTGGCAAGACTGAATGAGAATAAAAGATGCTACTGTTGTCCGTACGCTGGCTGTAGCTGAATAATAACCTCATAGCAGTCTTTTCTAAGCCACTGTATGTATGAAAGACCTTCTAATTTCCTTTTTAAATTGACCAAAGCAGAATTATGTTTACCATTAAATTTATTATAAGAAATTGAACTTACAGCTTCTATTTCAACTACTTTATCCATAAAAGCCTTCGAATATATGTTAAAATTTCATTTGACTCTTAAGAATTCAAAGTATATTTATAAAAATAAGTTACTTTTGGACCCTCTCCCGTAGGGAAGTTTGAATAAGCAAAGGAATATATTTAAAACCTACTAATTTCTTAATGACTTTCTCAGTCTCCACTAACACCAATATGATCTAAAACCTGCTCACTAGCCACATTAAAGGCCAAGAGCTTTACTTGCCTTTGCCTTGTAAAGAGATGACACTTTTTACACCATGTAGACTCTTTATCAGCAGGAGGACACAGCAGGAAGGGATTCCTACATCCATTTTACAGATGAAGCAGTTGAGTGAATGACCTTGAGTCAGTGTCAGTAAGTATGTGATCTATCAGAATTCAAATGTTAAGTATCTCCAAATCAGTTTCCCAATGATCATAGTAAATTAGAAATGTTCATTTTAGTGTCAGTTGTAAAATTGGTATGTGATATGTTTACAATCACAAATGCTAGAAAACTGACACTCAGCCTATGCTTTCTTTTTAGCCTGCACCCCAGCAGGATGTGTTGAAGACCTTGGGAGAGACAGCGCGAAATTGCACTTGACAAATTTCACTGCAACATACAAAAGACATCCCCCTTTGTCACCAAATGGCAAAGCTTGTTATGCTCCATCCTCCCCTTTAGCGGGAGATATAAAGGTTTTATCAGACAAAGCTGTTCTTCAGTCATGGACAGATAACGAGAGACTGATTCCTAATGATGGGATGGACTTTCAGGAGCACAACTCTTACGGCAGAAATTCTCTGGAAGATAATTCCTGGGTGTTCCCAAGTCCTCCTAAATCAAGTGAGACAGCATTTGGTGAAAATAAAAGCAAGACCTTCCCTTTAGCCAACTTGCCACCACTGCATTACCTGGATCAACATAATCAGAACTGCCTTTACAAAAGTTAATTGGATGGGACTCTTGATTTGAACAGGAGGAGGACAGTAACTTTCGCTGGTTATCCCAAGAGATTATTCAGACTGGAAGTGGACTTTGATTACAATCTTGCAGAGTTCGCCAGTATGTACATTTGTACATTCTATACAACATTATGTAGTTGGATTTCTAGTATGAGAACCTCCAGCTGTACCTTTGGTAACAATTAAAGGATTTTGCTTCTTGGATTAAGAATGGAAATGGAAATTTTAGACATGGTTTTATAAAGTATGTCACCTGCCTAAATACCTATTCACTAAATAAAAAGCAGTCTTTAATACAAAAGAAAAACCATGTCTACTGGTTCAGATTATGTTGAGAAACAAATGGGCAGTGTGACTAGATTGTGCTTCTGTGACTTCCTGATGCATAAAGATTTGAAATATAATGGAATAAAAGTAGGTTATTACATCTCTATGCTATTGTCTTTTAAGATTTAAAATCATTTTTAAGTAAAATGTGTATACAATTTTAAAATGCAATTTGAATTCTAAGACTTGAACTAACAACCATTGAAGCCAACTTTCCCCAGTATATTCAAATCCTAAATAGTTAAAAATGATATGGTATGTGAATAAACTATATAAACTTAGACATGTAGTTGAAAGTGGAAAGAGCATCTCACAGGGCAGTCTCTTCAGTGATTCATAACGAGCTCCACTTGTGTCGGTGTGTCGTCATTTTCAGCAGGACAGCTGTGTTTTACACAGAGCAGCTTGTACACTGTTGGACTATGACATCTGAGGAAGTGATTTTTAATTAACTGCATCTAGAACTAAATTTTGTGCTGTCTAATTATGAAATGTCTCCAAATTCATTCTAATTGCCTAGTCACTTGTAAATAAGTAAAGAATAACAAAGATGGCTTCATGTGGACATTCATCTCAATTCCTTCAGGATTGAAGCATTAAGAGTATTAGTAATCATGTATTACCTGTTTGATGTAAGACTTTATCCTTTTCTAAATAGTATTTCATATATCCTGAATTTAAAGGATCTCAGATCTCGTGTGTATGAGTATCATACATTGCCCAACAGTGTTCACTCTTCACCAGTTATTTTTGTATTGGTATTATCTCCCTCACTTATTCATGCCTGTCCATGATTAATGGAATTGATGTCAGATGCTGGAATGTGTTCTGACCAATGAATACAGCTGACTCAAGGGAGTACAGGCTCCTGTCAAGTAATATAACAAGACCCAATATGCATAAAACAAATAGGAGACTCCAGGCTTTACCTGAAGGAACTAACTACCTGTGTAATAAGAAAGCAGACTCATTTCTCATGTGGCTGCGGAGGCTGTCCATCATCTCATGTCTAACGTAGCTTACTGGTTTGCCTTTTTTTAAACCAAGATTAGAAGTTTTCCTTTGTAAAGAGAGTCTTATGTTTTGAACAATGCCAAGAAATTGTTTTAATTAAAATTATTTTTGTTTTTAAAATGGAATTGGATGTGAAATACTGTCCTTGCCTATGTATATTTCCAAAATCTAGTATTTTTATTTCTCAAACATATTGCCTCTCCCCAGTAGTAACAGTTATCAAAAAGGAATGCTAGAACAGTTTGATTGATGTTCTTAACAGTTAAAGTGTTAATGACCTGTGTAAGACTCCATAGCTAGAAAAGATGAACCCCAAGATATTTTTACCTTGTCAGAAAATGTTTAAGTATACACTCAGTCAACCCTGTGGTTGAAGAGGTGGCATCTGTATTTTGCGATTCATGAAAATTGACATTTTTGTTGGCCCTTTTCATATTAGCTAACGCTCCAAAGAGCTTCCCTTAACATTTTCTGTAATAGCTGGATTTCTTTTGGTGAGGAGATCAGTTAAGCACACCTGTAACTCAGTAATACAATGAACAGCCACCTGTTCCTTCCTCTTGATCCCTTATTAGCCTGAGAAAACGCTTACATATCTAAAGATTTTTGTATTGACTTGAGGCCAAAATAAAACTGAATGCATATGTAGGTCAAGAATAAACCTGCCCTATGAGCATGCAACAGTTGAAACTCAGTATACCAAAGATACATCTGCAGCAGGTCCAAGAGGTAATGTGAACAGTTTGTTTGTCTAGTACCTATGGCTTTGTGACACACAACAAAACTTTTGTCACTACTTCACTTGCTTCTTACAGTAACTGCTCTATACCTCTGAATCACTGAAAACAAGAAGTGTAGTCGTGTACATTACAAAATGCACCAATGCCACAGGCCTGCACAGGAGCAACAGGGTGCCTGACTCTTACCAGGCTGCAGTCTCTAGACTTATGTGTTCAGTTGCTCTGTTTTGGCCTCTGGCCACCTTTTGTTGATCTGTGGTCTGAGAGAATGGATTCTTTGAGTTTCAAACAAAGTAAAATAGTTCTTTGGTGAGTGCTGTGTGAAAATTAACATGCATTCATAGCTCATTTCATTTGAATGAGAAAAACTGTTTTCATGGGATTGGAGCAAAAGCTAACTCTTAGCTTCCTGTTTAAGAAATAGCTTAAAAAGGGGGTGGGGGGGGCAGGCTAGGCCCAAATTAACACACTGGAGCAAAAACCACAGTTCCTCCTGAGTCCCCAATGTTACAAAACAGAAGTTCACACTTAACATGACAACATCTTAAAATCAAAGATTATACAAAGCTGAAAAGATCAAGAAACATAGTACAGAAACTTTGCCATCAAAGGTTTCAGAAAATTAATTCACCCAACCTCATCTATGTTTTCAAATAAGCCCATGTCAAGCCTGAAGCCCTGCCTACATGCCCCATATTCTGACAAAGCTGGGTAAGTTGTAAGTCACTGAAACTGATGTCCACAGTAGCACAGTAAGTGCTGGAGTGAAGAAGAGCTCTGGCTCACAGCTGTGGTGCTGTGTATGAGAGGGTTGAAGGCTGTTGGTTCCTTTGCTTTAGTACTCTGGTCCTGCACTAGCCATCAGCCTGCATAATCAGAAGAAGGTAATACACATGGAATTCTAAGACCACTAGCACTGACTGCAGTTACAGTTGTGGAAGGACTTGGTTTAAAAAAAATTTTCTTTTCAGGAAAACATTCCATTTATAGTTTTCCTCCTATCCCATATTTAATAAACTAGAACTCTGAAATAAAGATTTTTTTATTTCATAAAAAATAAGTTTTCATGATTAGGGTGAGCAAACATTGTTTCGGTCCATCACTTTTGGCTTATATTACAAGTGGTTTCCATTAAGATGTGACTTCCTGGACTCATTATTGACCTACATGCTTGTAGGAAGCCTCTGCAGCCTCTTCTTAGTAGGAACTCCGGTTTTTCTGAATTCTTCCCTTTCCTTGAGATATTCCAGTTTGCATTCTTCATAGAAGGCTGGATCATTATAGCTACAAGGAGTAAATAAAATAATTCAAAATAGATACAATATAAACCTTAATAAAATTCAGATATTCATGAGATTAAATCTTGAGAAGTTGACATTCAGTAATAGTCGGCAAGGCACAATAAACATTAATGAACTAGTAAGAATAGAACTAAAAATTTTTTAAATGTGTAATTAATAAAAAGTATAGTAATATACAGTCTTAAGTTTAGTCTTATCACAGAATAGAACAAATGCTACATTCCAGGAGCCAATGGCTTAACAGGCAAAGGCTGAACTAACACAAAATATAAAAAGTACAAAGATGGATATAGAAACATGAGGAAGGGGAGGTGTCACGAAAACATGCTTGAGTTTTGCAGGGACACAGAAACACAGCAAAAGGGCATGTTGAAAAGTGCATGTGAAGGCAGAATGATATGCACAGGTCACTTCAAGTGGACTGGTACTCCCATAGTGAATTATGCACACAGCAGAAAGAACCCAAGAAACAGAGTGCACAGGAACCTAAGTATGATGAGCCACTTATGCCAATCTACAACAGTCTATCTCAAAAGCAATAGGACATGAATAACTGCAAACAGAAGACTCTTGAATGACTGGTGGTGTATGGCAGGTAGGTTGAAAGGGACAGAAAAGTTTTTAAAGTTGGATCACTAATATCATTCAAGCAAGAAATGATGAGGGCTTCCACTAGCCCAAAGGAAGAGATGTACGGATGCAACAGGGGAGAAAAAAAACTGATTTGGTAAATAACTAGAGTTAGTTAGGAGACAGACGACTCTAGACTATAGAAAACTATAATTCAAGCCACATAACACAGTCTGAACCAAAAAAAAAAAAGTTCTATTTAGGACATGAGGGAAAGCAGAAAAATGAGATCTGTAGTTATTTAATCCATGGGTAAAAACTACACTTAGATTTAAAATTCTTAACAGAACCCAACTTTAAGGAACAGCTTAAGGGAGACAAGATTGAGGCGCGGAGAAATGTGTGGCCTGTTGCAGGGTATTTGTTTACACTATGTGAAGGTATGTCACTGTGATTGGGTTGGTTTAATAAAAAGCTGAATGGCCAATAGCTTAGCAGGAGAGGTTAGGCAAGACTTCTGGGCAGAGAGAGGAACTTGGGATAAATCTAGGTACATGAGGAGACACCAGACAGACAGGAAGATGGACATACAGAATGGAAGGTAAAAGGCAAAACGAAGATTGATAGAAACAGGTTAATTAAGTTATAAGACCTAGATGAGAACAAGCCTAAGTTAAAGGCCAAGCTTTTATAATTAATAAGTCTCCATGTTATTATTTGGGAACTGGCGGTCCCCAAGA